GTGAACTTTAACATCTTTTCATTGATTATTGTTTATAGCCCTTGCCTATTTTCCTGTTGGACTATGTTTTTTTTTTATTTGATGAGCTCTTTATTTAGTAGAGCTATTAAACCTTTGACTATAATACAAATTAAAAATATGCTCTCTCAAAAAATAAGAAACTAAATCTTACAGAGACAGACAGGGATATTTTAATTGCTTGTTCATTCTACAAACGCCTGCAGCAGCTATGTCTGGGCCAGGCCAAAGCCAGGATCACAGAACTCAAACTGGGTCCTCTATAATGGGAGGTGGAAACCCTACTACTTGAGGAATTACTTGTAGCTATTGGTCAAGAAAAGAATGATGGGTAGACACGGAAGCCCACTAGGGGCTTATTGAAATGGTTTTAGTTTATTTTCTTCCCATATCCCCTGAATTTACTTAAAACACAAATTTGAGAACAAGGAAAGAGAATCGAAGACTATCTTGATTAATTTTCTTGCTTCTAAGACCTTAAACTGATTTCTTCTCTTCTCTTAGCTTCAAAGTCCACAGTAATATTGCAGGCACAGAATTACTGCCTGGATAATGAGCCATTTCCCAGGAGAGTAAAGTGCTAGAAGGCACAGTGGGTGACTTCGTACCCTGTGATCTGGAGCTAACTTCAGGACACTCTGCCAGTTTGGAGAATCTGACGGCTTTAGTGGGCCCCAACCCTAGGAATGCCGTGGGCGAGCATGATGTCTGTCTACTTAGTACTTGCCTAGGCTGCTGGTGTGGAAGCAGCTTCCATTTGAAAATCAGCCAGATTCGGTGTGTCTCTTGGGGTTCTCCAGAGTTTTATAGTATATATTTGTATTAGTATAATCAGCTCGTTTTCTAATTAAATGGGTATTAGTGTGTTTTGCTAAGTATAGTTAAAATTATTGCATTTAAACATTGAATTAAAATACAGCAAAATATAACTTCTAAAATTGTAGTAATAACAATAATATATTATATAGTGCTTACTGTATGTAAACACTGTTTTAAGTACTTAACCTATATTCATTTAATTCTCACAGTGCTCCAAGGTTAATTTCCTTAATTAGACTCAATATACTTATCAGAATATTAAGGCAAAAGGAAGGCAAGTGATTTTCCTAGATTACACAACAATTCAAGATTATACAAAGGCTTCTCCCCAAACTTCTGACGCAATAAAATCCAATGGACATCTCTAACATAATAAAATCCAACAAAGCTCTAAGTAGTCTTGTGTTTACAGGTGTTTGTGTGGGAAGAGGCAAAAATTCAGGAGATGAATGACTGATGTAGGGGCTCCTTGACTTGAGTTTTAGTGAACAAGAGGGAAGGTTGTGAGATTCCAATATTCCAATGGCTGTTTTGAGGGCAGTGTGGAAAGTATAGGGGTGTCAGAAAATTCCCAATGGAAGGAACCTCTCTTGGCATTTTATTGAGGTAATCAGTAGAAAAAGTAATGAGTAAAGATAGAAAATTAAATAACTTGAGAAAAGTCAGAAGAATTTTTTTAAAAGATTTATTTTTTAATGTATTTGAAAGGCAGAGTTATGGAGAGGGAGGGAGGGAGGGAGAGAGAGAGAAATTTTCTATCTGCTGGCTCACTCCCCAAATGGCTGCAACAGCCAGAGCTGGGCCTATCCAAAGCCAGGAGCTTTTTCCAAGTCTCCCACATTGGGTGCAGGGGCTCTAGTACCTGGCGATCTTCTACTGCTTTCTCAGGCCATAAGCAGAGAGCTGGATTGGAAGTGGAGCAATGGGGACTCAAATTGGCACCCATGTGGGATGTGGGTGCCACGGTGCCAGCCCCAAGCCAGAAGAATGAATTCAGAGAACCTGTCTGGTCTAAGTATAGTTCTGCTGCTAATTCATGCTTAAATTGCTCAAAGAAGACAATTTTGATGTTTTTTAGACTTGACTGAAACTCTGGTTGTGGACTTCACTATTAAAAGAGTTTACATACAAGTGGGTATGTCCTTGGGTTCGGGGTGGGGAAGAGATGAGATGAATTATTGATGAGTTTACCCAACCTGTTAGAGACAAGAACGGGAGTCAGGAACTGTATGCATTAAGCCTGGCTGTGAACATCACACAATAGCTCAATCCAAATGGAATGGTTTTAGAGCAGGGAAATGGTGGCTTGGATGCAAAGATAATATATTCTTTTAAAATGCCAATATTTATTTATTTGAGAGGCAGAGAGGCAAAGAGAGGTGGAGAGAGAGCCAGTGAGAGAGAGAGTGCTCCAATTCCCCGTTCACTCCCCAAATGTCTGCATCAACTGGGGTTGGGTCAAGGCTGAAGCTGGGAGCCAAGGAACTCAATCTGCATCTCTCGTGTAGGTGGCAGGAGCCTGAGTACTTGAGCCGTCACCTACGGCTTTCCTCCCACGATCTGCATTGGCAGGAAGCTGGAGTCAGGATCTGGAACTAGGCACTCCAATGCGGGATGCGGGTATCTTCGCTGCTAGGCCAAATACTTGGATGCCAGCATTTAAAAAGGCTTGTAAGAATCTGATGGAGTACTGTGGATACTGTTTTACCTTCGGAGCTGTGACTCAGTCATCTCAGAGCCAAAGTTCTCTTTTTACATCCTTTTGGTAATATTACCAGTACTTTCCTGAACTAAACTACAGAGATCACATAAAACCAATAATGTTACAAAAAGGATAATTAAATGAAAAGATTAACATTAAAAGGACATGTACTTCCATTTATAAATGTTCTGCCTAAGCAGCATTAGAAGATTTGGTGAGATATCAGATCCATGTCCCTCTCTCAGGAACTCCTGTGGATTTGATGGGTCAAGCGCAGACAGACACAGGTGTGTTGAATCAGAACCCCAATGCCGTGAATGGTGTTGCTGTCAATGACACGCTTTTCCACAGTGATAAACAACTGCAGGCAGACTTCCAAACAAAATAAAATACAGCCTTCTGTCACTCGTCACAGTACTTGTCTGACTCAATCTTGAGTGCTCATGGTTTTAGTGAAAGCATAAAATGTCACACTCTGACATCAGTAGTGTCTCAGGTTGATCAGAACGGTATTTTCAGCTTAGTAGTACTTGGCCTAGGCCATGAAAATGCTATATAGAAAAATACCCCTCAATTGAATAGCTTAAAGCAGCAATGATATATCCCTTTCACACAAGTCAGTGGGTCAGTTGGGCAATTAATTTCTGTGAATACCAGCAGAGAAACCCATTCATGGTGACAGCCAAAACTACTCTCCCACATTTTCAAATTTCCTCTTGTATAACTTATACTTCAAACCTCACTTCATATAACGCCTTGTCAAAGAATATTTTTCTGATTCCACAAACTACATTGAATTTCTCTTATAGAAAGACTCCCATCGCACTCATATTCAAAGGCTCACCGTGTTATTAACTACTCAGTGGCCATTTCCACTCTCATACTGTAAGTTCATTGAGGATAAGTTCTATATTTTGCTTATCACTGTATCCTGGTTAAGTTGTCACATATAGTTAAAAATTTTTTTTGCATTAAATTTCACTGAGTCCATTTGAAATTGGATTTATTGATCAAGTGCAAAAAAGTGACTCAATAGTTGTAGAAAATGCTGGTGTATTATTTAAAATGGCATTGTACCAACTGCAAATTTACCTTTAGAGTTTAAATGATATGAAAATTGTGATCAACAGAAAAGTACCCACATAATGTAGTGCACATTTAGCTTCCAGTTAATTGTCACATTATTGCAATCTCCATTATTCTGCTGTTGCATGCTTAGAATCCTTGTTGGAGATATATTTCTTCTCATCTTGATTCCTAGTCATTTTCCACCAGGGACTCTGAACTTAATTTGAATATTCAGCTATTTGTGCTAAACCCTAAATATTTTGCCCCCTAAGGATTTATTCTCAGTTTTGAATCATCTCTCAGTCTCATTGCAGCACTGTCCACCCTGTCCATAATGGTTAATCCTTGACCCTATGCTTATAGTTTATGATCTGCACAGACACGAATCTCAGTCCTCAGCTATGCATTAAGTCTGTGTTTGGTCCTAAACCCTACAGACTAGTGGCACTCATAAAATTGGCTGATGGAATCTATAACATGACTCTCCCTATTTCTGTTTTCTCAAGTGGGGGCATCCCAGGCAAATGAAATTGTTTGATTCACATTAATAATTCACTTAAGTATATTCTCATCACAAATTGTTGAGACCTCTCATGTTTTTAGAACTATAACTTGGAAGCAATCTGTCCTTAGTTCACATAAAGCAAATTTCTTCTCATTTTCCTAGGGCTGAGACCACAGAGGTTGTATTGTACTATGATGCTGGCTTATTCAGTACAATGTACTTTGACTAGAAGTTGAGGCTACCATCTGGAAAAGACTGGACTTGATTATTTATAGAGCCCCTTGCACTTGCAATATCAGAAATTCTGAAAGTCCTTGCACAGTGCTTTTTTGTGTGTGCACCATGAAAACTTCCTGAATTTCTGGGGTCTCTGTGCTTCCACTTGATGCATTACCAATTTACACATGATCTGGAACCCAGGAGAGTGAGGTGGGAGATAAGAAGAAACTTCTTTTATTTGCATGCCGGCATTGCACATATGCTTAATCAGCCTTGTAGTCTGAATAAGTAGTAGAAGCAATGCTATGTATTTGAGCTATTTTGAGACATTGAAAACATCACATCTCTTTCAAAATTGGCCACATCTTTTTGGATTCTCTTCCCACTCTGAACATAAAACAGGTGTGCCAGTAATAGTTGGCACAAAGTGAAAAAGTTTTTGCATTGAAGACTGATCATTTATTGTAGTTCACTTTATCTTAGTCATCAGTGTTGATTCGAAGATATTAAGTATGGTAATAACTTGAAGCCAAATTAGTCAAGATTTGGCCAGCGCTAACCAGGGTTTGCTTTAGCTGTGGGAGGAACTTGCAAAAGGCAATATTGATTATGTCTGGGATATGCCAATTATAATTTGACATTCTGATTTCTGCTTTTTGTTTAACTTAGAAGCAGATTCTGCTTTGCTCTCTTTGTGAAAGACAACTGGATGAGTGAAGATTACTACTTGCAACGAGAGTAGCAATTTATCTGAAATGAGAGGCAGAGAGAAAACAATATGTACTTTTTGCTGATTCTGACTCAGAATGGGCGGTGGTGAGGAATATTACTGAATAATGTTATCCAGGTGGAAAGAGAACTATGAAAAGTGTAAGGAAGCCAGGAGTGATACTCGGGGTGAAAATTCAGATACAATGAAGTGCTTGGAAGACTTTGAATGTGATTACAGTGATAAAAAGTGAAGACATAATGTCAGTCGGAATTGAAAGGATGCAGAATGGGTTGATACTCAGAAAATGAGTATTTTGGAGAAGTTGGCCACTTTCTTATCAATACCATCTGCAATCCATGGCAGAGACGATATTCTGTCAAACGCAATTGCACGTACTACAGCATGATAAACAGGACTCTTTCTTCCTCAGTTCTGGCTGAGGCACGAAGACATTGGAAACTAGATTCAAGAATGAATCATGAGGTGATCAGTCACCTGAGAACCAGAAAGATGACCCTGGAATCCAGGGTGAGGATCAAGAAAGTAGTGAGAGAATGGGAGGTGGAGAGAGCTCTGAGCGTTGTGGGCTCATGGGAGTCACTGGAGAGGTGCCTTTATCTCAAGCCTTGTGAGAGAGGTTCAGAGGCACAGAGGCTTGGAGGACCTGAAGTGCGTTCCATACAAGTGGAGAACACAGAGCCACGTGCGATTCACACCTGAGAGAGGTAGGGCAGCCTGTAAGGGACAAGGATCCTATCTGGAAAGTTTCCGAACGTGCCTGTGTGATGGGACCGAAGGTGTGTGAATGGCAGCCTTGGAGAGATTTCAGTGGAATCGTGAGCTTGGGGCCATTTGAACATGGGACTCTGTAAAACAAGGTTGTGCCTGTTATCTCGGAACTTCACAGTATGTGGACAGGGAGGATATCACAGAGGAGAGAAGCTGCGGAAGGGTGCGGACCAGCCAGCCACAGGCGAAGGAACCGGACAAAGGAATTGCAGCTGGAGGTGCCCAGAGGGAAAGTCTTCACAGAATCTGCAGAACCACCCAGAGAGGATGATCCACTTGGTCGTCTGCTGGGCCTGAAGAACACAAGACCTTTCCACGATGGTTCAGCCAAGAGAGAACTTTCAACTTTCTTTTGTCTCTCTTCCTTCCTACTTTGCACGCAGTTCTAGAAGGCTAAGAAATAAGCAGTGACTGAATGAGGGAGAAAGAAAAATGAAGCGAGGGAGTATCTCCTGGTCCTGAAGGTAGGTGGCCCAGCTACTGCCAACTTTTGTTGGGGGCCGGAGGGGAGCCTTACTTATGGATGATTTTTTTTATTTGATAAACAGAGTTAGTGAGAGAGAGACAGAGAGAAAGGTCTTCCTTCCATTGGTTCACTCCCCTAATGGCCGCCATGGCCGGCACTGCGCCGATCCGAAGCCAGGAGCCGGGTGCTTCCTCCCGGTATCCCATGCGGGTGCAGGGGCCCAAACACTTGGGCCATCCTCCACTGCTATCCCAGGCCACAGCAGAGAGCTGGACTGGAAGAGGAGCAACCGGGGCTAGAACTTGGTGCCCATATGGGATGCTGGTGCCGCAGGCAGAGGATTAACCAAGTGAGCCATGGCGCTGGCCTTATGGATGAATTTTGAAGTGTTAATTAATATGTTGGCTTATATAGGAATTTTAATTACCAAATAGTGACTAGGAAACCATGGGGATTTAACTTTTCATCCAATGGCAGAGGTAAAGCTTCCCCATGTGGTCAGGCTTTAAGGACAGAAGAACTTAGAGATGATGAAGAAAACTTGTTCTCATACCATGGGAACTTTTTCCAAGCATTGGCTCTTGGGGAAATAGGGCCTTTCTTGAGAGATTTGCCTTTGAGCCAAGATATCGTGAACTTTAAAATTTGTTTAGTTTCAAAATCTCTGATCTGACACTTCTTAGCTATAATCTGGAACAACTTCCTTAACTTCTCTGAACCTAATCTGTAACATGGGACTTAGAAGACTTAACACTGAAGGTTTGTGAAGATACAGTGTGTTATGTTTAAGAAATACTATTTTCTCCACATGTTCACTTCCTTTTCTGTATAAAATATCAATTTAGTATTTGTTAAATGTACCTCATCAAAGATGTATGGGAAGTGTTGTGGGGTATACAAAACACTCCCCTCCCCCGTAGAGCTTGGTACTGCTTATGGAGATACAGGATATATAGGAGTGTGCATCAGGAAGTTCCCTGAAAGGTAGAATGAAAAGGTATGCGTATGTTGGTACAAAAGTTTGAGATCCATGCCTAGGCATGCAGTCCCTGAACTTTGTGAAATATCCTTGTAATTTTGTCTAGAAAATGGACCATCAGTTTCCTAAGTGCAACACACAACCGCTAAAATGAACATCATGCCATATTGTAGCCAATGGAGATGATCAGAATCTCAAAGGAGAGACTGCCAATATGGGTGGCTGAAGATAGTTGTTGCGTGAGGCAGTTAAGTTTAGCTTTAAGGCTAAAATCAGACTTAAACTGCATTTCATAAGGCTATGGGATAGCATTCAAGTATGGGGAATAGAATCTATAAGTGTTTCCAGTTGAAAAAATGGTTTGAGGAGCCAGTGTTGTGTCATAGTGGGTAAAGCATCCACCTGCAATGCTGGCAGCTCATATGGGCACTGTTTCATGTCCTGGCTGCTCCGATTCCCATACGGCTGCCTGCTAACAGCCTGTGAAAGGCAGCAGAGGATGGCTCAGGTACTTGCACCCCTGCCACCCACTTGGGAGACCTGGAAGAAACTCCTACCCACTGGCTTTGACCTGGCCCAGTACTGGCCACTGGGGCCATCTGGGGAGTGAACCAGCAGATAGGAAATCTCTGTCTCAATTCTGACTTTGAAGTAAATAAACAAATCTTTAAAAAAGAGTGAGAGAAAAAGTAGTTTGAGCCAAAGTGGAAATGGGAAAAGTACACCAGAGGGCAATGAAGTGATCTTTGCAATGGAGTGTTGGGCTTTCACAGCTCTGAGAATACATCTGTAGTGGAAGGAAAGTGGCCAGTTGGTAGAGGATCCTTATGAACTAAATTGACATGTGTTCCATAGGCAAGGTAAAGATCTTCAAAGTTTTGGGTGGGAGGAAAAAGCATTGCTTGAGGAAAATTAATCAAGTTGGGTTTGTGGTTATATTTATAGAAAAAGAGACTAGAAATAGTAAGATCATTTTCAAATGATTGTTATAGCTACCCTATAGAGATATTGAATTAGCGAGGAAATATTAAGAATGGAAAGAAAGACACAGAATATAGTGCCTGAAGAATTGACAGGATTCAGGAAGTACCTGTGCTTTCAAACGTTACACGTGGAGAAGCCTCTAGACCACTGCTTTCTGACAGAACTTTGTGTGCATTGTGTGTTGGTGGAACTGGTCTCTGCGCTGTCCAGTATAGTAGCCATTAGACACATGTGGACACTGATTACTTCAAATATGGCTGGTGAGAATGAAGAACTGAATTTAAAATTTTATTTGATGTTACTTTAAACCTCAATTTAAATAGGCCCAATATAGCTAACAGCTACTATTATCAGATAGCACAACATCTCTTCTTCAACAAATTGCAGCATCCACACTTGAGTTGATAATTGGATATTTTGAGAATTGCATTAGCATTGATGCCTTTTAATCAATGATTTGATTTTGGCACTATTGCCACTTTTGACAATTAGTACACTATTGAACATTTTACTCTGTTTTATGGAAATAGGAAAATGAAAATGCTGTCAGTATTAATAAATATGGGTCTCATAAATTGGGTAAAATTAATGCAAAAGGTTGAAATCATTAAGTGTCCTGAAAGTAGTCAAACTTCTGTCTCAACTTAACCTGTGATGTCAGCTGTGAAAAAATAAAGACCATATTTAAAATTATAGTACAAAGCACAATTAAGGATTGAAATAATTTTATAATCATCATTATCATCCACATCATCACCATCATTATTATTTAGCAGCAACCTTTGACATGGAAGATTATGTAGTATTCTTATGTTCCATTTTTTGTTTTTAATTTCAGCAATGTGTTGAACATGAGTGCAGGCGTTTCTTCTATTTATTGCTTCTCAGATGCTGAAAATTATTACTATATTTATTTTATTAGTGAAGAAAATGCATTTGGCTTTTCTAGCCATCCAGCTACTAAATATTAGAGATTGATTTTGAAGAGATCTGGCTGATTCCCCAAATTTCCGTTTTTCAAAGTGGATTAAATGGGACAAACCCTGTTTGGCAACAGGCAGCATGTTTTAACATTGTTTCTGGTCTGATCAGTTTATACTGTATGCATGTGTTGAAATATGGAACTGTGTCCCATAAGTATTTTATGTCAATCAAAAAATAAACATGCTAATTTTGTTCAGATCAGGCATACTCTTTTACCATTAAAAACTAATTTTGATCACATCATTTTTGAATCATGGAGATTTGATGATCAATTATAAAAAGTAATACATTATTAGCATGTTAGTAAATAACAGCAATGCTTATTAAGTAAATAAATCTTAACCTTTAGTACAACATTTATATTTTCCTATAAAATGAAATAGGAAATTATTTTTATAACATTTTATACACTTAAAAATAGTAATCACTGTTCCTGATTTTTTCAGAGGTCAAAATTTTCCTGTTCTCCAAGTTCATAGAATGAAGTAAAAGAATAATTGTTTTTTGGCTGTAGTCTCCAATTTTAGAGAAGTAACTAGTAAACTGGTTGCCAGCCCTTGCTAACTATCAGCAGCAGCCTCATACTGTACCTGTGCTTCTGCAAACCTGCCAATACCTGCACATTTTCATTTCCCCAAATCTGCCAATCTCTGAACAGTATACTGTACCCTAACCCACCACAACAACACGTCTTGGCTTTGTTTGAGAAAGTGCGTTTTGCATTGAATTCACCTGAAATTAATTAATCTGTATTGCAGGTGTGGAAAACTGATGGTCCCTTTCTTCCACATCCCTTTACACTTTTACTTGGTGAGTGATCTCCTCTTATTGTCTGTAACTAGAAGCATTTGGTGGGAAATAAATGATCAAGAAGTTATCTGACAACCTGGTGCAAACCTCCCTGTCTCTTGCCTCTCAGTTCTCGTCCCTCTTGTGGGAAGATATAGAAGGACTTGTTGAAAAACAACGGAGGGGCTGGCACTGTGGTGTAGCAGGTAAAGCAGCCACCTTGGGTGCCGGGATCCCATATGGTGCTGGTTGGAGTCCTGGTTGCTCCATTTCTGATCTGGCTTCCTGCTAATGTGCCTGGGAAAGCAGGGGAGGATGGCCCAAGTGCTTGGGCAGCTGCATCCACATGGGAGAGTCAGAAGGAGCTCCTGGCTTTGGCCTTTCTCAGGCTTGGCTGTTGCAGCCATTTGGGGAGTAAACCAGCAGATGGAAGATCTCACTCTCTCTGTCTCTCTCTGTAACTCTGCCTTTCAAATAAATAAATAAGTCTTAAAAAATAGCTGAATAGATTAGGAAATATAATTAAGCCTTATAGAGTAATGCTAACTGTTCTGTCTCCTCTGTCTCTTAGGGTTTCTTCAGTACCTGCTGAGAATGGCTGAGTTTTCACAGATCTGAGACTTCAAAAAGGGAACTTATTAAAAATATGATTTCTTTTATTATAAAAATACATAAATTACATGTAAACAATTTGTTATTGATTTAACTCTAAACTTCATAGGGTCATGCAATTGATCTCTATTACAAATTATACTGCAGAATGTCATTTCTATTGAGATTCTAGATTCATTAGATAACTTTTTCATATAAGAATAGTTCTAGTCTTCTTTATAAAAAACTTTTTATTTACTTATTTTTGGTTGTTTTTTTTTTTGAAAGACAGAGATCTTTCAACCAGTGATTAACTTTCCAAATACCACAGCTGGGGATGGGCCTGGCCAAATCTATGAACCAAGAAATGGTGACTCAATTGAGGTCTTCCATGTGGGTTCCATGGACCCAACTACTTGAGCCATCGTCTGCTATATCCCAGGGCACTAGCAAAAAGGTGAAACTGGGAGTGGAGTTGGGACTTCAATCCAGGCACTCTGATATGGAATGAGTGGCCCAAGCAGAGTCTCATATGCTGTGCCAAATGCCTGCCCCCTGTTCTTGTGCGAAGGGGAATACCTTGTTCATTCTCAGTGCTCTGTAAGTGAATATTTGGCAGTGTGATTGCTCCCTTGGGACGGTAAAATTCTTGGAATTGCAGAGGTAGGGCTAGAAATCTGACAACACTTGGCATAGTAAAACTACACCCAAATTAAAACCAATGAATTAAGGGTGAGGGAATGAGATTGTCAAACGTAGTTAATTCTTATGAAGGACAAGAAATGGAATGAGTAGCATAAAAGAAAGGGCATAAATCTTGATCGAGGAGTTTCTCCATCAAGTCATGCCTTCCCATGATACGTATTCTCAATATATTTTAGCGTTTTTGAGTATATGACGACTACTTCTATGGGATCACACCTTTAGCACATACAGAACAATGACTAGACAGTGATGTGCCCAAGTCCTCCTGTGTGGCTCACCACAACTGATTTCAAGAACTTTGCTAACTGGTTCACACTACACTGGTAGCCTGAATTCAGCAGGGATGGCAGTATTTACACCATGGGAATGGGCAAATAGAACAATTAAACTCTCCCTACCCCCAAATCCTTTGCAAATTATTCATCTTTGTTGGAAGGTCTGTTTTTGACACCATTTTATCTCTAGAAGCCATAATGACAAGACACTGTTCTTATTTCTTTGCGGATTAGGGAAAACAGTGAGCAGATGTGTCATCTGAGTATATTGAAGTAGACTTGTTTACAAACTTGAGAATGAAGTTGAAAGGATTTCCTCTTGCTCAGACACTTATTGAGATCTCATCTGCTGTCTCACTTCCCAGAGGGCCACAAGGCCCCTGATTGGGTCTGGAGCCAGGATCTGGAAATTCAACCCAAGTGTCCTGTATGGCAGCAAGGACCCAAGCACTGAGCCATCATCTGCAGCCTCCCAGGGTCTGAGCCAATGGGAAGTTGGAGTCAGGAGTAGACCTGTGTATGGAACCCATGCACTCCTATAGGGCAGCGAGGACCCAAGCACTGAGCCATCATCTGCAGCCTCCCAGGGTCTGAGTCAATGGGAAGTTGGAGTCAGGAGTAGACCCGTGTATGGAACCCATGCACTCCTATAGGGAACGTCAGAAGCAAAATCCACATCCTGACCACTGAACCAAACACCAGCAGCCAAAGTTAAATTTTTACAGTTCTTTTTTTTCCTTTTTGATTTATTACTGTATCCTGAAAAGTTACTTGAAATTATACAAAGGCACACAGAGAAGTTAATGGAAAATGGAATAAAAAGATTATTTTGATGCCAAAACAAATTGAAATTCATGCAGACAAGTGATCTCCAAGGAGTTCATGAAAAACGTGTTAGGAAAAAACTATTCATGGTTTTCGAATTTTTTGCATCAAAATAAATTTATCTTTTAATTTCATTTTTTCATGAACTTTTAGAAGCACTCACATATTTGACTTCCATTGTACTTTTTTAAATTATAGGATATTGATTCCCAACTCTGGATACACATTAAAAACACCTGTAGAAAAAAATTTTCTGTTGCTTCATCTGTATCCCAGAAAATTAAATCTGAAAGCAACTAAGAACCACTGGCCTGGAATGTGGACTTTTAATGTGAACTTTTAATATGACTTCAGTTTTGTCTCATTATTTAAAGAGTTTACTAATTTCCAGAGCTATTGTTTTTCTAGCTCTCACATTCGCTTACAGCTTGTCTGGTTCTCTCTTTTTGTGCTTGTGAAATATGTTTGACCAGCTAACACCTACTGGATGAGTTTCTGTGTTGCCCAGGACTTTCGTTTTTGAAAGATTTTGACAGAATTACAGAGAGGAAGAGAGAGAGAGATCGTTCCATGCCCAAATAGTCGCAAAGGCTGGGGATGGGCCAGGTGGAAGCCAGGAGACAGGAGCTTTTTCCGGGTCTCCCACGTGGATGCAGGGACCTAAGCACTTGGGCCATGTCCCACTGCTTTCCCAGGAGCATTAGCAGAGAGCTGGATTAGAAGTGGAGCAGCTGGGACTCAAACCAGTGCCCATATGAGATACCGGCACTGCAGACAGTGGCTTAACCTGCTGCACCACAGTGCCAGCCCCAGGACATCAGTTTTACAATCCACAAATATGATGATCAGATGTTTGTACCTTGTTTCTCTTGAAGTAAACAAGCACCTGTTGGAACATCACCACACCTGGGGGCAAACAGACTTTAAATATTTAAGTTTTCACTACTCACCTTGAATAAAAAGCTTAACAAACCTGACTTACATCTTTAAGAAACAGAAATAAATCATGTGGATCATAATTAATCTGCTTTTCAGAACAAAGCAGACAGGGCAGAGAGCCTTCAAGAGTTTTCCTTACAGCCCTTTTATCGCGGGAAAGAAACTTTAAGGATATTAAAACTTGGCTTTTGTCAATCGGCCTTATAAGAGATACAGTTCCTGTTAAACGCGGTTTTGTTTTGTTTTGTTTTGTCCTCGTTCTGTTGGCATATGTAGTAGTTTTTGATAAAAACAAATCTTCAAGATACGAGGTAAAATGAATGCCACGCTCTGGTGACTGGTCTAGACCACTGGAGGCAAATTCACATGAGAAAAGTGCTCAGCAAAAATATTTCACTGGAGATGTTTTCCAGCTGAATTGCCTTCACATTCTGTTCCCACCACATTCTCTGAATTGCATGGTGGAAAAGCTGAGACATTGAACTTAGGCTCTGCAAAGGACTGGGAACTTGGGCACAGAAAACCAGGTCTTTTTTTTTTTTTCTTAAATTTACTGCTGCTTTTCTGCAGTCATTTAATTTCTTTTTCACATTGTTTATGTGAGGGAAGAATAGATTTTGGAAGAATTTTCTTTCTTTACATACCGTCATCTCAGTTATATATTCTCATGCTGCATTATTGTACTTTGCTATTTACAAATTGTATGGCACAAATGATAATAGCCTTTATGGGCTTGTATGCCAACACTGAAAGTATTAATACTGTAGGGAAGAAAATGCTTAGTAATAGCATATTTGCACAGTTAAGAGACATGTTATTTCATTGAGAACACATTGCCTACATTTTTGCTGTTATCAACATTGATTACATATTTCATGCCAACAATGTGTCCAGGTCTCTACAGTATACATCAAATTTCTTCCTTCCATGCTTCCTGTTGAAGTTACACAAAATTCCAGAGTACAATGCAGGCATGGAAATAAACACGTTCCTTACTGGATTCCTCTGTGTTTATGTTGCCTTCCTTTCTAATTTGAAACATGAAAAACCTGGCAAGAACCATGCCTAATCCTATCAGCACTGATAGATTAGTAAGTGGAGAATACTGCTGCCAATTTATGGAGGAATTCTATTAGGGGAGACAAAGCCACTTTACCAAAGGGAGTTCGGGGGATTTGAAGAAATCTGGAGTTTTGGAAAATGGCTGACTAGAGGAGCGTTCACTCGTTCATGGAATCTGTTGACTGTCAGTTTGACTCTGATGGAGGTTCGCTCTTAGGGAACTCAGAGTCTAGTAGAGGAAATCAGATGAATTCCAGTGATGGAAGGGCAGCATGGATCGTGACCAGTGCCGGGATGAGATCTACACTGCTCCCTTCCTTCGACCACTAGTCTTGTGGGAGTAGGGAGATCTGGTGGCCTCTCTGGGACTCTGTTTCTATATCTGTAAAATAAGAACACAGACAACTACTTTGTCTTTGAGAGCCTTTCCAGCCCATAAATAAATATTACTAAAAAGAAACACATTTATATGATGTGTATTCCAACACACTGAGAACCTAGTTATTCTTTATCAAGAAGTTACAATAAAAAAGCTAATACAATTAAGTGTATCAGGAGGAGCTAGCAAAGGCTGGCAAATGAATCAGATGTGAGCATCAGGAGAAAACTCCTACCATGGTTCTCTTCCTCTGGTACTGGTAGGGTCTCCACCAAGACTCTGTCTCTGTATGCCAGGTCTCTGCAAAGAAGTCACTTCTCTTCTGAACAACCTATTCACAAAAGTCTTCCTACCCACATGTCCATGCCCACATTTTGCTTATTTTTGTCTCCTAGCTCTTATTGCTATCTGTAAGTTAAGTCTATTTATTGCTTTATATAGTTAATAACCTGCCTCTCTATGAGGATGTAAGCTCTGCTACGAGGGAAATTTTATGTATGTGGTTCGTTGCTGTTTCGTTAGCAGTTAGAACTATGTTTGGCACGTTGAAGCCACTTTATTTATATTTATTTGTTGACAAAGTAAAGCTCTTCATAATGACTTGAGTTTTTAGACAATGCCTTTCCTCTTGTTCTAGAATATGTATTTACTCTTAGAAGCTTTGCAGGAAGTAGTTTACTGATTTG